TAAGCCTCAGATGGTAGGTCACTTATTGTGGTGTGTAGAATACAGATCCTATACACTTAGCATAATATAATATAAATAACTGCATAAAGTCATTTAAGTGTGTCACTACTTAAATGAGTACAGACATATCAAAATCTTATGGTATATATCCTACGCATATCTCTGCATTTCCATACCTTTTCCTGCTGCATTGGAAGATTCTAGTAGCAAGAATAGGCTCTGGCAGGTGGGAGGTCACAGTGAAAGGTAGGGGTGTCTGAATGTAAATGACTAGCCATTTAACTGATTTAACCACACACACACACACACACACACACTGCCTTTCAGTTAACGGTGTTGGTTACACTCAGAAAAGTGGCCTTCACAGCAGCTGGGCAGGCAAGGGTTGCCTGCTTTGCTCCTGGGGAGAAGACTTCTTTGCTGCAGTGAAGCTGCCTCCCCGATTGTGAAGTTAAGAGGGCAAAGGCTGCTGGCTTCAACCCCAGGAAAGTGGTTTCACTGCCGGCTCCACAGCCGAGAAGGAGGCTTTGCTGCTGGAGGCGGTGGGGCAGGGCAGGCGAAAGATGGCACGCACTGGAAGATGGCTTTCAAGCTGGATCCCCATGCATATTGGCTCCTGTAGAACCACCTGTTTCTGTGCTGCTACCTCTTTATCAGAGGCTGTAGCAGGAAGAAGTTGGGAGCTGGTGCTCACAGAGAGCTGCACCCCCCACATTTAAATGCGTAACTGCTAAAAAATCCAGCGGTTACATGTTTACACAAATACACATTAGTTAACATCCCCTATATATACATAGTTGTTGCTTTAAAAGGGCCAATTTCACAAAGCTGAATACAATTATGAATCAGATCAGCTGGAAGGAAAAATATAACTGGAAAAATATGACTCATAATGGGGAATTGTTTAAAAACACTTTATGAGCTGCCCAAAAAGTCACTTTCAAAGAAGAAAATGAAAGAAAGGGAAAACTGATAGTAACGAATATGTCAAAAGCAAGGAAATGTTAAAAAAATTGATAAAAAAAATCAAAGGAATACACAGAAAAATTTATGGACAGCAAAATTAAGGACCAAAAGGAATTTTTAAAGTATGTTAGGAACAATCATATGATAATTCTCTTTCCATTCCATTAATATAAGGATGTTAAACAGCAACCACTAATGTTAGACATTTTTTACTTGCATCCAGGTGTTTTAAAAGGGTTGTCTGATGCTCTCACTGGACTATTAATATTGATTTTGAATAAGTCTTAGAGCACAGGGCATTTCCAGAAAGTTGAAAGAAAGCTAATGTTTTGCCATATTTTGAAAAGGTAAACAGGATGACCTGGGTATGTGTTGCATGTCAGTCTGACATCAATCCTAAGCAAAATAATGGAGTGACTGATCCAGGACTCAGTAATGAATTAAAGGAGGATTATAAAATTAATGCCAATCAGCATGGAAAATAGGAAAATATAGTCTGTCAAACTAAATTTATATTTTTGATGAGATTACAAGATTGGCTGATATAGGTAATAGTGTTGATGTAATATACTGAGACTTCCAGAAGGCATTTGAGTTGGTAACGCATACAGTTTTGATTAAAAAAAACTAGAACGATATTAATAATGGCACACATTAAATGAATTAAAAACTGGCACAGATCTCAAAATATAGTTGTTATGATGGATAGGAGGAATGCTGACCAGCACTTGGAGAGTAAAGGATTAAAGTTGGGTAGCTAAGGGTGTTGGCAGGAAGCCAGAAGAACCAATAGAATACAGTGTTGAAATGTAAATATATACCTGGCTGTCTCTCTTTGGGAGTTTTAAGTTAGGAGCTGGAGGAAGCAAGATGAAATAATCAAACAGAATTACCATGCCTACAAGAAATATTGGGCATGGGGATAGTCTAGGCTTTGAAATATGGATCAGTATGGATTGCTGAGTAGAGGGAAAATGTTTACTTAGTCGTGATCAGGTTATTTTTCTTTATTTTGCTGTTTGGTTAAACGTCTCTGTGTGAAATCCATGTGCCTCCCTACTCTCATTCACTGTACCTAAGCTGTGCCCAGAAATACCATTTTTTTCCTCTGTGTTTTAATCTGCTCTCTCCTCAGTTGCTCTGTATCATTAACAGTAGCAACTAAATATGCTTTATCAAGTATACCTTTTTGTTTTGTTAATGAAATCACCCTTTTTAAGGTGATGATTTGATTCTTGTGTCCTGAAAGGTATCCGGAGGGATGTGTGTGTGCGTGCGCCTGCCTAGCCTGAGAGGTCAGCTATCAGAAACACAGTTTGTTGTTGTTTTTTTCTTTTTTCAAGCTCTCTTGTGGCAAAAGAGCTTGGAGTACCCCATGGGAAGAAGTTCAAGTGTTTCTTCCTGGTTTTCAGGATTTTATTTAAGGCCGCCGCTATCAAGTACATATCTCCCACAGCCAGGGGAGTTTTTGTAAGCAGAGCCTATAGAAGCAAGGTATTTAGGTCTCTTGAGTGCCAGAGTGGGAAACAGCTCTGATATTGTAAATAAGGAATCACCATTGAATGGGGAGTGGGTGTTTCTAGTGGAGTTCTTTAGTGGTAAGTTCTTGACCCTAAGGTATTCAACATTTTTTTGTCAATAATCTGGAAGGAAACATAAAATTATCACTGAAGTTTCAGATGACACAAGTTTAGGAAATGGTAATTAATAAAGAAGACTAATCACTGCCACAGAGCATTTTTGAGTTGATTGGTAAGTTGGGTACAAGCAAAAATATATGTTTTAATATAGGTAAATGCAGGCCATATTCAAATGTTGGGGGACCTTGTCCTGGGAAGCAGTGACTCTGAAAAAGCTTTTGGAATCATGATGACTAATCAACTGAACATGAGCAATACAGAGCAGTACAGTGATCAAAAGAGCTAACAACATCACAAGAGATACATAACTAGAATCCCAAGTACGAATAGAGAGTTAATTTTACTTCTCTATTTGGTGAAACAACTGATGACAACTGCTGATGGAAAACTGTGTCTCCCATTCTGGTGTCCACAATTCAAGGAGAACATTGATAAATTGGAGAAGGTTCAGTGAAGAGCCATGAAAATGAGTAAAGGATACACTCAAATTGCTCAACTTTTTAACAAAGAGAAAGATAAGGAGGTAACTTTTATTATAGTCTATAATATCTAAGTGGGGAGCATTTATACTTTTTAATCTGGAAAAGAAAAATATTACATGATTCAGTTGTTGAAGCTTGAAAAATTCAGACTTGAAAAAAAGGCATGCATTTTTGATGGGGTTAATTAACCATTGGAACAACTTACAGTGGGTGGTTCTCAGTCACCATCAATTTTTAAATCAAGATTCTTCTTGTAATTATTTTGTGAAAGTTTTGTTTCCGGTGTTATACAGAAGTCTAGATGATCACATGCCTTGAAATATGTGATTCTAAATAAGTTCTACCATAATACAAACAATAAATATTTTAAGCACTGAATTAAGACTCCCTCAGATATTACTCTTAACTAATGATATATTATCCTAACCTAAGAACCTGAAAGAAAGACTGTCAGAATGAGAAGAAAAATATATTTGCAAGAAAAATATAAAGCAGTCAAGGAGATATGGGATATTTGGTATAGAAAAACAATATAATGAGTATCAGAGGGGTAGCCGTGTTAGTCTGAATCTGCAAAAGCGGCGAGGAGTCCTGTGGCACCTTATAGGCTAACTGAAGTGTTGGAGCATAATATAATGAGTAGACTCTGTATTTTGTGCTAATCATATTTTTTGTTCTGGAGATAGTTAAAACATATTTGTCAGCTGTAAGACATTAAATTTGTGGCCTGTTATTAAAATCATTGTCTCTTTGTGATTTTCAGGATCATATAGTCTCTCACTGTTTTAAATTAATGTGATTATTATGGCTGTTAAATCATTCTCAGCTGGATGGTACAAAGGGCCAATAATGTAATATTGTGCCATTATAAAATGGTTTTATAACATGAAACATCATACTGCGATGCTTAGCATTCTTTTAATACCTATCAGAGTGGTAACAAAACAAATAAGAATTACCGTTTTTCAGACTTTGAAGATATGCTGTTCTTTGGAACAGGGGCTGTCTTTATATATTCAGCTAGAATAATGGGGACTTATGATCCTATTTGGGGTCTCTGGCTGCTACTGTAATATAGATAATGTAATTGGTTTCTTTCTCCCAATGAGCAGGTGTTTGAGAGAAGCTGGAGTAAAAGAAAGTGAATCAAGTTTAGTGTTACTTATCACCATTGCAGGAGAAGCAGGCACTGGGAGATGCTGAATTAAAGTTTTTGTTGGATTTTTGACTAGGTGATTCCACCTAATTTATTTGTAACACTCTGATGCTATAATATGAAATAATGTACTTAAATAGTATCTTAGAAATTCTCCTATTTATTAAAAAAGCCTCAACTTTTTAAAGGAAACTGCTCTTTAAAAAATAACTGTTTGCATTTGCTGCTGTATGGTATCTTAGCTCATTTTCAGTAATGTTTTGGTGAGAAGTGACACTCTCAGCAGCCAGTGAAAGACAGATCTGAAGATAGTGGGATCTATAAAAGTTCCTTCATAGAAATTACTCTGCTAGAAATCTTTGGTAGATACTACATGCCTATTCTAGCCGACCAGGTAAACAATTTATGTCATCCTTTAATAGTACAGGGTCTATATCATTTTGAACTGCTGGGAGGCATATAAATTCAACAGTCCGTGTTGTTCAGATGATACCATGTCAGTGTATAGGTTTCCCAAGTATATTGATTTATACTTGATGAATAATCTTTATACAGAGTTTTGTAAGTTTTTGTTCTGTTTTTTGTTTTGTTTTCGTTTTTATGTTTAGGCCTAAGGGAAAACATAGTTAAGGCAAGAATCCATTTAAGAAAACTAGTTTGATATGTTCTTGGAGATTTTGATGCTCTTTAGTTCTCAAGACAAGTTAATTTTATGTTAATGTACTTTTCCAGTCATGGATTCAGATTTTCATGTTGTAGTTTGTACCTGTATGTTTTGGATGTGGTACGTAACAGATGTATTCTAGCAGTAAGTCTGTTAGCGCTTAAAGTGGAACGTTCTGGTATACATGTGGAGCTGTGCCTGAGAATCTGGTAACAAAAGTTATTGACTAAAATGTTACATTTCAGACACTAATCCAGATAGCTCACTCAACAGAATAAAGCTAATCCATTCCTTGTTAGAAATGCTGCCCACAGTCTCTGAAGGATGTAACAAATACCCCATGCCTAAGCTCCACAGGGCTCCTCGCTGCCTGGAAGTGAAGAACAACAGGAATTCTACTGGGAGGTTCTGAGGCAGGAGGATCAAGGATTTATTTTCCCTTCCATATGGGGGAGAGAGTAATTTAAGGTGAATCATACTAAATGATAACATATTGGTTTTCTAAATTCTGAATCAGTGACAAATGGAAAGGCAGGATTGGGTTTTGAGTGTGGCTGTCAGAGCAGAAGTGGAGTGCTAGCCTATAACAGCAAATCTTTTAAATTAAAAAAGTCTACTGACTCTGAAAATAAACTGGAGAACAAACCTGTTGTATGTGTAGGGTGAGGGAGAGAACAAATTATCCAAGAGGAATTTTCAGTGTACAGGTTGAGCCTCTCTAGTCCAGCAGTCTCTGGTCCAGCAACATCCATGTTTTTAGTTAGGTGGATGTCCATTTATCATGAGTGTGGTCAAGTTTCCCACCATCCCATAAAGTTTGTTTACAGTCACTGGTCTGTAAGTGGTCTCTCAGTGTTCTGTGCTGTTATTTAGCACTAATTTACCTCTAAATGTCTTCTAAGGGTGTACTAAGCAGTGGAAATGTGCTTCCGCACTGACCAGGTCCCGAGGGTGCTGGATTAGAGAGGTTCAACCTGTAAAATTTTGTTAGCAATCTTTTTCATTTAGATAGTCCTTATATTTGGTTATTTTATTTTGTATTACAAGACTAGTAGTCAAGTGTGTTTTTATTAATCAGTTTAGGCAATGTGTGGAAGAGTTTGAGTTTGAAGTGATATATCAAGTAAATATTCTGTGTGTGTACTTTGTATTTTTGCATTTGCTATTTTTTTTTCAATTTTATGGCATATCTCCAAAAGATAGCTAAATCAAAAGTTCAGGATAATTCATGAAAAGTGTCCTTTGTAAGACTAGATTCCATAGTTTAAAAATGTTACTGTTTGACTAAGAAAGTTTTAGTTCTCTGAAGAAAGCAAAAATTGAGGAATGCTCCAGATAGAATAGATGAATATATAATTTTCAGCTAACACATGTTCTTTGGTGACAATCTGGAAGAATCAAGGCTGTGATTGAGCAAAACATATAAACATGCGTAAAGGTTAAGCATCTTTTTGAACAGGAATGGAGTTAAGGACTTGTTTAGGTGCTTTACTAAAAATTATGTCTGAGTGCCTGTATCTGGACAAAATTTTAAAAAAAGCAGTCATGTAGCACTTTAAAGACTAACAAGATGGTTTATTAGGTGATGAGCTTTTGTGGGGCAGACCCACTTCTGGACAATGAGTAGCGGAGCGTAAGTAAACTCAAATAAGTCATTTGATCTGTATAGCAATTTACAGCAGGGGCTTTTCATAGTCAACGATATAGTTTTTTCAAATTTGGTGAAGGGTATATGAAAAGACAAGATAAATTCACTCCCTGTTTTGGGGCAGGGGTAGAAGGTTGCTGTGCAGCCCCGCTGCCCCTCTTGTAGCTCCTACTCCAGGGCTGGGCAAGATGCGGCCCGGGGGCTTGATCCGACCCACCTAGCACTTTGATCCAGCCTGCAAACTGCATATGGCTGCTTTCTATTTATATCCCACTGACCATGCCACCGAATTTCCAGGCGGTATCTCAGGCAGCAGGATTCTATTTAAATGTCTCCTGGTAGGAGCCAGAGCGGAGAGCCTTTTAAATATCCGCAGCTATCCCAAGTGGCTGCCAGGCAACATGGTAGCGGCAGAGCCATGAACCCGTTACTGTGTTTTATAATTCAAAGACTTTGGTCCACACAATTTTTGGGGGAAGCTGTGCCCCAGACCCTCCTCTTCCAGGGGTTGAGCTGGCCTATGAAGTACCAAAATTCATTAAGTGCCTCCACCTGCGAAAATTATTGCCCAACCCATCCAACACCAGTTTATGTACTGGAACAATGACTGCAGCCCATCAGTGCAATGTATATAAACTTTGGTTCTATGTAAATATGAATCCTGTATTTCTTCTGTCATTATCCCTCTGTTTGAGCCTATATGCTATTGAAACAAAAACCCTCTTTGCAATATTCAGACAACGTAGAGGATTCTCCTGAACAGCCACTTTGGTAGCAAGGCTTATTTTAAACAGGATTATATAGCGTTCTTTACTAGGATGAATTTCACCAATTGAACTATGGATAGTCTTATTAATTTATTCCCAACAATCATACATCCAGATGTAGCTAACTGTTATAGTGTGTATTTCCCCCAGAGACATTCTTATTAAATATCATTACCTTTTTAATATTTACATTATTTTAGAGATTTGTGCATCTGTGTATTTGTCTGAGTCCAGTTGTTCAAGGATGCCTCCTAAACTCTGAGAGCTAGGGCTACCAAATTTGGTGTACAGCTTCCTCTTCTTCTAACTTAACCAAACCCTGACTTTGCTTTATGCCAAGACAACAGGAAGTGGTGGGAAAGGGGCTGTTTTTCATAACATGGAAAGGAAGGGGCTGTGCAGAGGGACATGATACTGAGAGAGGCCACTGGGGGGCAGCAAGTCTGCAGGGGAGAGTGCAGAGTGTCCACTAAGGAAACCCATACCATCAAGGGAGTGGCCAGCAGGGCTGGGGATCAGCTATCTTGCCTGCTAGCACATGGGAATCCTCTACGTTGTCTGAATATTGCTAGTCTCCCCCCTCCCCAGCCCTTGATTGCAGGGTTAGGGGAGAGGGACAGAAAAGGCTCCTGCTGTCTGGAGGGAGGTGCGGGAGAGAAAAGGCCCCTGGCAGCCAGATGGGGAGGATGGGCTGGGGGGAGACAAAAGGTCACTGGCAGCTGGAGGTAGAGGGGCTGGGAGGAGAGAAAAGACACCTGACATTTTTCATTTCTGCTTACCAGTGTTTGAAGTTTTGCCATTAACCAATATATTCACCACTTCCCATTACTCACAATGGAACTAAACCACAGAGTGCTCTCGAGATGTCTTACCATGTCCCCTTATTCTTTATAGATAAAACTGAGGCTTCTACCTACAAAGATGGATGATATCTCCTATGTTTCCAATAGGGCTGCAGCCAGACGGCTGTATATGAGGGCCAAGTGGTGGTAGGAAAATGTAGAGGTGCGTTGAATGACGCTAATGGTCAGGAAAGAGAACACAAAATAGGAGTGAGTTAGGTAACTAAAGAACTGAAAAAAATGCTAGAAGGCTCAGGGAGAGACTGAGGGGCAGGCAGCAGAGAAAGAATGAGATGGTTAGCAGACTAGTGGGAATATGAAGGGCAAGTAAATTTGGAGGTAGATTAGGGATGTAATAGAATAGTCGATTAACTGATAAGCAAAAACTTATAGGTTAATGCTATAGACTACATACATTTCCCCCCCCTCCCTGCCAGTAAATTTTTTAACAGGCTGGCCAGCAGCCTGGCTCAGTCCTGGCTTGTGATGGGTCCGGGACCTACCCTGCTGTGGCTCTGCATTTAAAGTGTATTGGAAGTTGGGTGGACAGACTGCTCAGCTCAGTCCTGGCTCATGCTGGGTCCAGGACCTACCTCTGTTTCAGCTCTGCATGGAAGGCAGTAGGGTTTCCTGATGGCAGGGTCAGGAGCTCGGCAGCAGGGCTGGAAGTCTGGGAATGGGGCTGTCACCTGGTGGCACAACAAGAAGCCCAGCAGTCCTGAAGCTACCTGGAGTGGCTGGGAGGCGTCTAGTAGCGGGGCTGCTGCTCGGCGGCATAACTGAACTTCAGCCACAGAACTGCTCAGGGGGACTGGGAGGCAATGGGGATCAGGAGCCCTGTGTGCAGAGGTGCCTGTGGCAGTGGGGAGCTGGCTGGGAGGCTGGCAGCCAGGCCATAGCTAGGTCCGGCAAAATCCCTCATCCAGGACTGGTTCAGTCCCGAGGGTGCCAGACCAGGGAGGTCCAACCTGTACTAATTTAAAAACAGGATATACAGGCAGTCCCTGGATTACGTACAAGATAGGGACTGTAGGTTTGTTCTTAAGTTGAATCTGTATGTAAGTCGGAACTGGCGTCCAGATTCAGCTGGTGCTGAAACTGACCAGCGGCTGACTACAGGAAGCCTGAGGCAGAGTTGCTCTGCCCCGGGCTTCCTGGAATCAGCTGCTGATCAGTTTCAGCAGCAGCTGACTTGGGGACGCCTGGGGGTCTTTAGTTGAATCTGTATGTTAGGTTTGTTCTTAAGTTGAATCTGTATGTAAGTCGGAACTGGCGTCCAGATTCAGCTGGTGCTGAAACTGACCAGCGGCTGACTACAGGAAGCCTGAGGCAGAGTTGCTCTGCCCCGGGCTTCCTGGAATCAGCTGCTGATCAGTTTCAGCAGCAGCTGACTTGGGGACGCCTGGGGGTCTTTAGTTGAATCTGTATGTAAGTCAGAACTGGCGGTCAGTTTCAGCAGTGTCTGAATCTGGACGCCAGTTCCGACTTACATACAGATTCAACTTAAGAACAAACCTACAGTCCCTATCTTGTACGTAACCCGGGGACTGCCTGTA